CATCATGCGTTAAACAAGTTCAATATTTTATGGTTTCTATAAATATATGAAGTTATCACTTCTGTCGAGCGTCCCGTGACGCACACCATTTTTTTGATCGGATTAAAGTTAGGTCTTTTTGGTGATTTGGTGATGAAAAAGGTGATTTTGTCGTTTTCTTCGATTTTGCAATCATCCACATACCTAAAAAAGAGGGCTTAGTTTGTTAATTACTGATTGTTCCAGTTCTTCCAAGTCCAGCTGGGCGACAACACTAGATATAGATAATCCCATTGCATAGCCTTCTATCTGTTGGTAATACTTGTTAAAAAGAAAATAGGTAGATGTTAGGGTTAATTTGGTAGCTTCCAGAAATTCGTTGAGTGGAATACCTGTAAATCTCTTAATGCAATTCAATTTTTTTGTTATTGTTTCTAATGCCAGTTCAATTGATATATTTGTATACAGTGATACAACGTCAAGTGATACTAGAATATGATTTTAAGGAATAAATATGTTGTTAAATTTACCTTTAAAGTGCCATGATTTCCTTACGTAATATGCCTGGTCATTTATTACATTATTAAGAATGTTTTTGAGGAATTTTGATAGTCTTTCAAAAGATGATTGAGTGCATGTTACTATGGGGCGCAGTGGGATATTTTGTTTATGCAGCTTAGGAACGCCATACATGCGAGGGGTTATTAAATTGTGGATCTTGAGGTTCTTGGCTTGGTTGGGTGATACGAATTCTTTTCTTTCCTATTTAGCACCCAGCTCATTATTTTTCTTTTGAAATATGTTGGTCGGGTCGTTTTTCATTTCGCAGTCTGTGCGGTCGTTGAGGAGGTCGTACATTTTACAATTGTAGTCATTTTTGTACATTAGCACATTTTTGTTGGTTTTATCGGGTTTCAATACAAAGATAGCAGGGTGCTTTTTTAAGAAATATTTTGTTTCTCTAAGTTTTTTAATTAAAAATGTTTAGTTTTTGTTTAGTTTAGAGTGGTTTATGCTACTTTTTAAATTTTTCATTATGTTTGTGCATTCTGACCTAAGTTTGTCCCTTGTAGTAGTTGGAAAACGAGTCAAAGCAGCTTCTACATTGGCAATGAGGTCATTCAGTGGAATCTGACTTGAGTTTGCAATGGGGATCGCAAAGTTTGGCCCCAAATTCAAAATATCATTGACATCATTGGTATGCTTTCCTGGTTTAACTTTTCTGTCCAATCTCGGTTACAATGGTTTGTACTTTTCGGTTGCTGCTTTTGTTTTAGATTTTCAATTTTTTTATTATTGTTATTTTTTATTTGTTTGAAACGTTCTTCCGCTGATTCATTGCTATGTTGCATTAAGCATTGAAACTTGATGTAAATTATTAGTTATATCTTGGATTACCTTTGTGAGGCTGTTAATTAACTCTGTTGTGTCGGTTATAAGGAGGTTAATGATTTTTAATTTAAGCTTGGTGGATCCATTAATAAAATTGTGCGTTAGTTGGTTTCATGAGAATGCAATGTGATTAAGATTAAAGCTCAAAAACGTAGGTGCTAGTTTTTGGGATTTACAACGAAGTAAGAAAATTCTACGATTTTTTTGTTTTATATATACATATAGATTTTATATATACATATAAATGTGAAATTCACTTAAAACAAAGAAAAAATGGTCGTGTGTCTGAATAAGTGTGCATGCAGACTACAGAAGGAAGAATTAAAATGCCCAAAATAAATCAGGAAATGGAAATGACTCACAGGATTAATTGCCGATTTAATGCCTAATTTGCACGTGGTTGGTTTCCATCCTGTTTTTGCTTTCAACTAACACTTGGCAGTACTGAGGCGTAGTGCTGTATTCCCGGCTTTGCCCATTTACTGATTCCTACGTTTAAACGTTTGCTTTAAACTGAAAAACTGTTTAACAGTCGTTAAGTAATGTCGAAACTCTTTGTTCATTTTGGTTGGGGCCGCCTTCTTGTCCTTAATGCTTACATCAAATGCAAACTATTGATATATAAAAAACTACTTGAGACGCATCCCAACGGCTACTATGTCCATTTTGTGTTTGTTGATTTCTCTGAAAGCTTCGTTATTTTTGGTTGAAATCTCTTGAATGTTCCACCTTCCAATTCTTATAATCCTTTTCTTTGCCAAATGTCGTTGTCTAGATTTCCTGTCCGTTTCCGAGGCTTTGTTGAGAAATTTTATTTAATTTATGTTTTTTTCCAAGTGATAGGGTGCAGGTTCATCGTCTCAAGCCCCCAAACTGGAGGACTAAGTAGTATTTTCTCTGGCTTTCCTTCCCATAAACTGCCTGACTTTTTGGACTTGGAGCCTATGGAGACCAGTTTTCCTCTCACCATAGGCTCTTCTGCTCTCTCAACTAGATTGAAGTAGCATGTATTCATGATTCACTCTCAAGACCATTGACCCACGGCTTTTTACCTGCATCCTAGGCAGGGGTCCCCACAGGGTGCTATCATCCGGGCCAGATGAACCTTGGTCTTTTTTAACGGGGTGTTACTTCCCGATCCCTCTTCCTTCCTTTCCTAACCGGCGAATATTACGATTGGATAATGCAGTTGAGAGAAAATATCGCCAAGACCTTATTAAAATTTATAATACCTTCTGATTTCTATGAAGCAAAACATATTAATTAATTATTAATATGTCCTTGTAGAAATGGTTTGATTACAAATTGAAATGGGAACCAGGAGATTATGGAGGAGTTGAATTTCTTTACGTACCATCAGAACATATATGGCTTCCGGATATCGTACTTTTTAATAAGTAAGTTTTTATTATGATATTTTATCATCAAGTATTGCTGGTACTTAAAGCCAGTGGGGGCGCCATCAAAAATTTTTTCAAGATGAGCGGGAAATATTTATACTTTTAATTGTAAGACTTGGATATAATATATCTGTTTTACAAAATATTTTTCTTCTTTGGCTGAATATAATGTAAAATCTATTTTAGTTATTTTTATTTAACATATTTTTATAACCACATGTTTTTGTCAAACAAGAAGCTAACAGAGTTTGACAATACCTTGAGTGTCTCAATATGAATTTACAATATTATACCAGATTTTATCTACTTTCGTAGAATAACGAAATACATGTTACAAAAATATATTTGTGTTAACTGTGAACATTTTCCTAAACGTTATTATGTTGGAAACAAATGCTGAATTAAATTTGCCACAACTATAGTATTGTAATAAAAACTATTATAAACAAATATATTTTTTGGAAAACGTTAACTAAACGAAAGTAGGTTTAAAATATTTAAATTAACCAATAACATTATAAACATTGAATAAAACTTTATTAACGCAGTGAAATACTTCAATAATGAAACAGTTATTCACGCAGAACCTTAGAAGATGCATTCTTCTATTATTCTATCTAACAGCAAACGAATCTATAATTAACTCTAAATCGATTTCAACAAACAAAATGCCCAAGTCAGTAAGCCCATCTTTACTCATAGCTGTTCTCAAATAACTTTTAATTCTCTTTAAACTGCTGCAATATCTTTCACAACTTGCACTAGACGAGTTTTCTGTCATTGCAACATCACATAGTTTATTAATTTGATGGAAGACTAAACTAAAATATTGCAAAATATATGAGATGTTTTTATTTTTAGATAATTTGTGACTTCATACCTCTTAGTGGTATCTGGCAATTACTTTGTCTCGTTTTCAATTGAAAAAGAATTAAACGTTTGTAAAATAAACATAAAAGTTTAAAAAAATGGATTAAATATACGAAATCATGTTTTTAAAAAAAATTACCGCGATAGAGCGATTTAGTAGCAATACAGCCAAATCAATTACTTCTTTTTCCGCTATTTGAAAATATTTGGCTCTTGTCCYAGCAGGAAACAAGTACCCATATTTAGATTAGAAAACAATTTATAAATATTAAGTACTTAAAAATTTAGTTTTTAATTSCCGAAAAACTCGGAATTTKTTCTCGTCCACTATCATTATTGTCGAATTTGATTTGATTATTTAATTCGCAATTATTTATATCGTTGGACCTATGGCATACGGATGCCGGAGCTGACAAATTCATTCTTAGAGAGGACTACAAGTTTTAAAGGATAACTCCCGAAAACTCGTAGTACAAAAAAGGGGGTTTTTTAGTTGGTAAGAATCCAACCCTACCTAGGGTTCGGAACACTGGGTGTCTTCGCGAAGATTTTTATTCCTCCAGCCGCCGGGCAAACCAAAAGAAAAAAAAAACCAGAGGCAGCGGTGGGTGGGCTCACTTAAGCGCCGCCATCTCTATTCGTTCGTGACGTGTAATATAGAGATGACATAGAGACGTATATTTACATAGCTCTGACGCCCAGTCTAGGGTCTTAAAAGCATATTCTAGAACTTTGTTAAATCGTTTTAGAGATAACGTGTCACCCTGTCTACACCTCTTTGTATGGAAAACTATCTAGTCTAAAATTTGTTCCGTATCCTGAACGGGACGTTGCCTGCTCGCCTGTTTGGTAGAAGTCCAGTTTTTTCTCCAGTCTTTTGTTTATTATTTTCGTGAAAATCTTGTATAGATCTTCTTATTAATGGTCAATTCTGAAGTTTTTAAATTTATAAAAATGATAATTATTTGCTAATCAGATATGAGTTATTCGCCAATTCCCCAGGCGCACGCAAATAAACCTCTGCACTTCTTAAGTATTCGGGTTTATCGGTAGGATTTAGAATGTCATTTTATTTTAATACAGTTTTAAATAAAAGTTAGTTTTTTTAAAACTTCTTTATTGAATAAAACAAAATTGACGCACCCAATTTTTTTAATTTGTGGTTTCGTTGTTGAGTTATTTGATTTCCAAAATGGTGGAAAATATTAGTTTTTGCTGGTTTCCTTTAAAACGGTTTAACATAGGAACTTCAATTTTGGCATACTTTATAAGCTAATTTAGTGCCATTTTATGATAGTGTTTCGTGGATCAGTGTGCTTTTCTACATGGTAGAAATGTGGAACCCCTACTATTGTTTTGTTCAGAACTTTTTTGTGTGCACTTAAACTTTTCTCGACATAGTCTTTTCGGCGAGATAACTTATTATAATTTTTCACATTTTTTTAAACATTTTTTTTTTATGTAGAAAATAATTCAGACAGACTCAAGGTTTTCAAGAAGGCAAATACCTAAAAGGACGTTGATTTTTACCATTTGAGTTTGTGTAAATTTTAAATCTGATGATGGCGCTGTTGTCTCGCTGAAACGTAATTTCATTAGTTCACTTCACTTGAACTTCACTTCAAAATTTTTACTTCATTCTTTGACTGAGACCCAGGAAAGATAGGAAAATCGTAATAATTATTTAAATTAAGTAATAATTATTAAAAAAAGTTGATAAATAACTTGTAGGAATTAAAAAAATTATATTGATAAAAGAACAAAGAACACGATTTTATGTTTTTGCGCGCAAACTAGTGGTCTTAGGAAAAAACAATGAGAGAAAAAAAAGTTGGTAAATAGCTTGTAGTAATTAAAAAGACTATGTCGAGAAAAGTTTAAGTGCACACAAAAAAGTTCTGAACAAAGCAATAGTAGGAGTTCCACATGTCTACCCTGTATAAAAGTAAACTGAACTACAAAACACTGCCATAGAATGKCACTCAATTAGCTTATAATGTGTACCAAAATTTAGTTCCCAATGTTTAACCGTTTTAAAGAAAAACAACAAAAACTAAWATTTTTCGCCATTTTGGATATCAAATATCTCAAAAATGAGACCTCAAATTAAAAAAATTCTCAGGAAGACCCCCCTCTAAAATGACTAGGAGAACACGCTACTAAAATATTTTTACATATTCACGGAACACCCTGTATATTTTCTAACATTTGATATTATACAATTTGAACTGAAAGCAATATTGCGACTCAATATTGGTTACAATATATATGCTTATACAATGCTACTTTTTATAGTGCTGATGGAAACTATGAAGTTACTCTAATGACCAAAGCAACTCTAAAATACACAGGCGAGGTTAATTGGGAGCCACCCTCAATATATAAGTCATCGTGTGAAATAAACGTTCAGTATTTTCCTTTTGACGAACAAAGTTGTTTAATGAAATTTGCTTCTTGGACCTACAATGGATTACAGGTAAGAAAGACAATTCACTCCCAAATTATTTATGCATATTTAAATTCCCTTTTCGTCATACCGTTGATTGAAAGAGTATATATGTTACGGGTAATGTAATTATTTAGGTCAGTATTCATAATGCTTGGTTATTATGAATAATGACCATTAAAATTGGGAAATTTGGTAAATTTGAATTTTTTACGATAATTTTTCACATTGCCCGGTCATTATAAATACCGCTATTATTTCTTTTGGCACTTTGATTAGCAGTGTGCCAAAAAAAGATTTATTTGTTAGACCGATACTAAGTAAGAATCTGAATTGAAGATATCAAGTCGATTTAATTGACATGCAGTCACAAGCTGATGATCAAGCAGCAAAAGAGCAGAAGAAGTAGCTTTTGAGCTTTTGGATATTTTCGCAATTTTCGGTGCGCCCAGTATTTTACAAAGTGATAATGGGAGAGAATTTACTAACCGTACTATTAGCGAACCCATGGTGCATAGGAAGCCCAGACAGTCTGAAAGTCAGGGTTCCTTAGGACGTGCGAATCAGGGCGTGGAAAATATGCTTTGTTCGTGGCTAGAAGACAATAGCATCATGAATTGGCCAGAAGGCTTACGTTTTGTACAGCTAATGAAGAACAGAGCTCATCATAGTGGCATCAACTGTACTCCCTATGAAGCCATGTTTGGGACAAAGTTAAAAGTTGGTCTAAAAAATTTATTACCCACAGACATTTTGCATATATAATATAAATTGTGAAAAAGACTTAGAAGTTCTAGTAAAAGATCAGAACAATTTACAGTCTGTAGAAGAAGGTCCACTGTAAAATAAACCTGAGTCACATGTGTTAGCGGAGCTACCAGGTCCAAGTCAACATGATGAGGAGGAACTACTTTCTCTTGATTCAGTTAAGTTCAAACTTAAGAACTAACTAAAAAAAACCCTGATTTATATAATAAAGAACTTCAAGAATCTTTCGGGCATGAAGATTCCCCGGATGAACCCTATGTGAAAAAAAGGAAAGCCGACATATTAAAAATTACGCAGATTTCAGCAAGCAATCTAAAAAAACTAGCTAAAAAAATGGTTCAAACTTCTAACTCAAAATACCCTGATGCTAAAAAAGGTGACACAGTTAGAGTTCCAGTCTCAGATGTCGACAGAGGTCGCACCAATGGAAGAAATATTTTGGCATTTGTTCTTCAAGTAACAGATGCTAATCTGTATAAATTAGGCACGAAACACGGAATTCCAAATCAACTTTATGCCAGGAACCAATTTACAATATGTAATGAGAAGTTTATATGGCGAAGCTATAGTCGATGTGGCATTAAATCCGACAAGTGCAAGTGTCGTAAAGAAAAAAAGCTATGTAACTCGAAATGTCACCAAAGTGAAAGCTGCTCTAATAAATAGACCTTCTATGCTGCAATTGCTACATATTGACATTTTGTGTAAATATAAATTTGTAAGTACGTACATATCTAATACATTATTTTTATTTGGACTCAAGGTTTGTTTGTACTTATTTCATCCCCACCGGCTTGTTGGTCAGCATGTGAAAGTATATTTGTTATTTTTTGTTTGTTACTTTGTCAGTTAGATATGTAAAAATTAATTATTTTTTTTAAGATACATCAATAAAAATTATTTTTAAATTGCCCACTTGACCTTTAGTTGTATTTGCAACATAATTTATCATTTTGTCATATCCTTTTGGGCACTTTTTAAAATGCCCGGGCATTATAAACAATGCCCAGTTATTTACATTGCCCATAACATATATACTCTATGCTTCCACAGTTTCGAGGGGGGGGTCTTCTGTCGTTAACTGACCCCAGACATTCTCGGATCTGTGTTGTGGGCTTGTAGATTGTTCTTATGTTGTATTTCCTCAGAAGCCTCTCAATTCTGTCCGTAACCCTGGGAACAAAGGGCAGGAAGGCTTTCAGAGTCACAGTGGATTCACTATCTTCAGCACGGCCCACTCCTACAGCTTTTGTGATGTCCAACTGGGAATATCCGTTCTGAAGAAAAGCTTTTTCCAAGTGCTGTAGTTCTGTGGTTAGATATTGTAATCCACATATTTTTCTCGCTCGATCCGTAAGAGTCTTAATGATTCCCTGCTTCTGACTCGGATGGTGGTTAGATAGCTTGTGAAGACATCTGTCCGTGTGGGTGGCTTTTCGATATACCTTGTGGTCATCAGAACAGTGTAAGCGTTTAAGCAAACCACTTCTGATGATGCAAGCCACTCGTGCTTGCGAAACGTCAAAAAGAAATTCTACCAAACGACGGCCTAAAAACCCGAAAAGCCCATTAGTTTCTAGGAATGGTCTCAAAAGTCTCTTTTGATATCCCTTAAAAGGAATAACGGCAATTTTGAATCACCTTGTATAATTATAAAATAAAAAAGTAAATTGGAACTAAAATATGGTGTTTCTTTAAATCAATTTTTTAGGTCGATCTCAGACATATGGACCAACTACCTGGTAGCAACATAATCAAAGTAGGAATTGATTTAACGGAATTTTATTTATCGGTAGAATGGGATATATTAGCAGTTCCTGCGACTAGAAATGAGGAATATTACCCAGATAATAAGGAACCATTTTCAGGTACGAAACCCATAGGTTTTTTTACTACGCAACTTTTTTGAAAATATTTTGTTCCACTGTTTTCAGATATAACCTTCAAAATTACAATGAGGAGGAAAACTCTGTTCTATACTGTAAACCTTATTATTCCGTGTGTTGGTATTACGTTCCTTACCGTTCTGGTTTTCTATTTGCCATCAGCTTCTGGAGAGAAGGCAAGTAAACTGTCAGTTTACGCTTATTTTTATTTACTTATTTAACGCGATGGTTGTTTCAGGTCACTTTGTGCGTCTCAATTCTTTTGTCTCTCACTGTATTTTTCCTTCTCCTGGCCGAAATTATTCCTCCTACTTCGTTAGCAGTTCCGCTACTTGGAAAATACCTGCTATTTACCATGATATTGGTCACGTCATCTATTTGGGTCACAGTATGTGTACTCAATGTACACTTTAGGTTAGTAAATATTAATAAATATATTATAACTTTCAGAAATTGAAAAGACGTTGAAGTAAGTAGTGAGTAGAAGGATGGTAGCACAAGATGGTTTTATGGCTCACTGTCCCACTTAACAGATGAAAGTAGATTTAAACAACTGAGTGCCTTGATTGTTCAGTATTTTTTTAAATTACAAATGAGCAAGTTAAAAGTTAAAGTACCTCAGCAGTTGCCAGTGGCAATCTGGCGCATCTAGGGCCTCACGATAGCGACCTTTTTTTTAGAAAAGAGCTTCTGTTGGGATCGTAGCCTCGGGTCGTACCACAGGTTAATCCGGCCCTGGCAGTTGCTATAAATGTCTTCTTTCTAAAATATGGCACATTCTAAAATTCAATACTTTTTCACCCGAACCAAAACAACCTCCGAAACAGAAAAATAGTTGCCAACAGCGGCAACCATCTACATGATTCTAAACTATTCAAAAGATGGTAATATCTGGATGCGTTTAAGCGCTTATCAAATGCATGTAAGTCTAACAAATTGTTGTAAAAAATTACACCAGACAAGTTGAGGCAGAAGTGTTGCTAAACTCTAATTTGCTTTATCGCATCCTGATTTTGCTACCTCGTGTAAAACACGATTCAACTGACCAAACAACACCTGGCGAATAAATAATTGTCTTGGTCATTTTTCTACATGAGCTAAAGACAAAAGGTTAATCGTTGCTGTGCATGTCTAAGACCTAGCGGTAGGATTGCATTTGCTGGGAAGGATCGTCTGAGAGATTCGGCAAAAACTGAATTATGTGGTTTATATCAGTGTGGATTTTTTTCGCGATATTGTTCTTGAGAGGATTTTGAACTCCTGTAATTTTTTAAATAGTTTAAATCGGACATACTTATGTCAATAAATATTTCTGTCTGAAGGTTTTTCTTACAATTACTTTTGTTTCATTCTTCAAAGTTTGACGGTGACCTCCAAAATCACCATGTTTAAAAAGTTTTCTTTCGGTTCTTGATCTTTGCAATTTCGTCGAATTTTTTGAAACTGAGAAGCAAAACTATCCGTAGTGTACTATCTATTTTTTCACGAGACGAAACTCGAAGTTCCGCCACTGCTTGAAGTAGCTTCTTGAAAATGCAAGAAGACGTTATGCACGCGGTGGTGGGCCTTTGATTCTTATCTCGCGTACCGTAGATTATTTTTCTTAACCCTCGGTGGAAATTCTTAAAATCATAAGGTTTTGCAAAACGGACTTTGAAGATGCTGTGCGTCAGCATGCGTGTCGCAAGTTATTACTGCCCACACGTCATGAAGAAAATTTGCAATGGGCAAAAGTAATGCTTTTGCCATCGAAAACAGTGGCGAAAGTACGTACTTTCCACCAGGGGATCAAGGCAAATGATATTAAATAATCATTGTAGGTCTCCATCTACGCACAAAATGTCTTCGACATTTCGCAAGATATTTCTTCAATTCATGCCTAAAATATTGATTATGAGAAGAACTACATATTCCATTCCCGAATATGATGATCGACAGCCCCCTAGAGGTTATCTAACTGCAGAGGTGGAGTAAGTATTTTAAACACAAATATCTGTTGTTTGTAGTATTGTAGTATCAAACTCGTTTCGTTTTTCGACTTTTAAAATTTTACTAGTCAAGTTGAATTTAGCTTTTGAGTGAAATCAATAATTTCCAACCAAAAACATTAATAAATAGACCAAGCTCATTCATAAATCCCGATTTGTTTGGGACCAACATTAAATTCTACCGATCGACGATTTATCAATGACAAACAGGTGGTAAGGATGAAAGTACTAAAAGTAGGTACCGACCATATATTTACAGAGTAGAATTAAGTGGAAAACCAACTCACCTGGGTGCTATAGGCGTAGTAAATATCTATATTAATCGATTTATTCTAAGCATGAAAGAATCATTGATTATACGGGCTACATTCCTACCCCGTATGAAAGGTTCACATTAAACCACTGGATTACTGAACATTTGTATAAATTGAGCAGGAGTTAATTAACCGAACACAAAAAGCTGCTCGAGAAGAGTGTATAATAAGATGATTACACAGGCACTTGTTTGGAGTTACAGGCTCAAATGTATGTTTTTGTAATTTATAAACAAATTAATAATTCGAAGTTATGAGTTTCGAAATAGGTTCCGTCATTCAGCGATTCCTGTTGAATTTGCCGTTTATCTTTTCGTTTATTTAATACTTGTCTATCTTATTGTCACTTGCTCTATTTACCTATGGTTACCGGAGTTGTAAATGATTACTACGCAACAGGTATTTACATAATGTTAATTAAGCAGATTTTCTTGAAAACCATTGTTGCCGCTTTTCTAATATAGTTTTTTCAAATTTTTCAGTTTTCAATAACAATATTTTTTTTACTATTTTATCTGTACTCTTAAAACACCGCCAGAAAACACCTCCAGAGGAACGACGCCAATTTTGAATTACCCTGTATATCAAATTGATTACCACGCCGGCAAAGCAGCTTTCATAAGTACCTACTTTCGATATGACTGTGAACCATTGTTCTTATATCGAAAAACGTAAACAAATGCATCTGTTTAATTTGAGTTTCCAACAGCCAGTCAATTGCACGTTAATAATTGTCGTTTGTAGATGCGTATATTTTATCACCAAATGATGATTAACTCAGCTTAGAGTGAGATCAACTTGTACTAGTCAAGTTCAACAGTAGCGCTATGTCATTTTGTCATCTTCTTAGGTATTCTGCAAGTGAACAAAATGTTTTTCGTTCGCGGTTTCATTTTCATTCACCAAAGGTTTGCGTTATTTAATATTTTTAAGCAGCAAGATTATGGGTCCGCCAGAGTTGTTCAACGTAGCCAAAGATAGAGAAACATTTAAATTAGTGGCCGCCAACCTCTGATTGGAAAAGGCATAGGAAAAAGGCGAAATAGAAAGATGCCTGAGTTGATATTTTCCATAAACATTGCACTGATAAAAGAAATATTTTTTCTTATAAAAACAACGTTCTGTATTATATTTCTGACTAAAATAAAACTATTGTTTATATTAGCTTTTCTAAACATTACATCTTGGGATACATCAAAATTAATTCGCAAATATGGTCTATGAAGTGATCCTGTATTAACTATTATAATTGAAATACCATTAAACTAGGTCTGGGTGACACTGTGTTGTGTGGCACTTTTATGTTCATGCCGCTCTGTGTGTCAATATCTTATAATACTTCGCGTCTTATGGAGTAACACCTTGAATAACACTGTTCAAATCTCTTCCAAGATGGAAGACTTTGGATTGCAAGTTCGTAAAGGCCGCGCACTCATTTTATGATGCCCAATATCAAAATCTAGGTTGTGCTCAAAATACTTCTCTACTGATGAATTCTTATTTATGTCGCTTCGGAATTGGTGCTGATAATGTCCGAATTTAAAATTGTAGTTATATCATAAAAAGAATGCAGTGTGAGTAGAATCCAAATAATAATCTAGCACCATCGTTGTTGTTTTTACAAGAATCAGATGCAAAGCATGTTTGCCTATTGAATAGACGTAAGGTTTAACATACCTGAGATATTCATATTTTCCAACTAGCTGCGTTAAATATCGTTATACCATTATTATTTTAACAAACACCAAGCAATACTAGTGTTTAGTTAACTGTTAGAACGGCATCACTTTATTATTAGTGTTTCCATAGAATTTTATTACTGTAGATGTTTTTTGACGTTATAGATGAGCTTTGTGTATCATAATACGCGGTGGTCAATAAGATATTGCTTTGAAGCTCCTAGAACCGTGTTATGGTATCGAATGCCTTGTGGCTATGGGATAAAATGCCTCAATGGTATCCAATGTCTTGTGAAAATCTATGACACCAATACTAACGCTCTATTATACTCACTAAAGACAATAATTTCCTCAGCATTAATGATCCGAAAAAGAAAATACGTAAGTAAGAACCTAAGCAAATCTCGAGGTTTTCCAACCCCAGTCAACCCCAGAGCCGGTTTAGAGCCTATTAGCTCTCATCAGCTGGGTTTGGCGTTAAATTAGCGACCGCAAAATCCGCACGTGAATCACCCAATGCAATAACAAAGGGAGCGAACCCACTTATACCGTCTTGGAAACTTCAAAAAAGTTTCCAATATGGTAAATCTTCTCCTCCCCCAATTCCAAAATGTCTTCCAAGAAGTCAAATACCTTTTAAATCTGCGTGTCCTCATTAAAGCTCAAAGGAACTCAAAGGAATTTCTCGTATAACAATATCCCTACGCCAGATTGCTCTTTCGTTCTTGTTTCTGCCGCTGTATACCGGAACATATTTTCCGCACTTGCACTTTTTTCCCCGTTTTCTTGGTTTCGGTGATTTCTCAAACGTCGATCTTCAGCAAAATCTCCGGATCTTTGTTGTACAGGGACGCTACGTTCCATCATCCGATTCTTTCCCCCCATTCATGGTAACAATGGACTGTGGTCTACAGCGATGAGGAAAAAACGGAAACTTTTGCCGACTTAGTCAAAAATAAGTTCAGGATTTACTACCCCAAGGGTAAGGACTTTCCCTGACTTCCATGACTTGGGCTGGAACGGACGAAACTGTCCCCCCCAATCACACTTCATCATCTTCATTAGCCTGGACTCCTGGACCTATTAATCCACTCCTGGACATAGGCCTCCTCCTTTTCCTTCCATGGTGACCTGTTTTGGGCTGGGAATATTCAGTTGTTTCCCGCTAGTTTCTGTATGTCGTCTCGCCATCTTAGCATGGGTTTGCCTCTGCTTCTCTTTGTTCTCCGTGGTTTCCACTGCATAACGGTCTTCGTCCTGCCCAACGCCACTTGTTTTTTGGAGTTTGTTCTATGACGTCAATCACTTTGGTTCTTGCCCTGATATCTTCGTTTCTTTGTTTATTTCTTAAGGTAATTCCCAGCATCGCACGCTCCATCGTACATTGACAAACGCGTAGTATTTCTGCACTTTTCTTTGTCATGGTGACTGTCTCGAGCCCGTACAATATAACTGGTAGTACGCAGGCATCGTATATTTTCCGTTTCAGATTAATTGGTAACTTCGGTTCTTTAAGGATATATGCGATTTTTCCAAGTGCTGCCCATGCCAAACTGATTCTCCTCCTTATCTCGACTGTCTGGTTGTCTTTGTCTAGCCTGATGCTGTGTCCCAGATATATATATTCTTCCACTAGTTGAAGTGTTTGGTTATCGATATTGACATTGATGTTGGTGTTGTTTGAACTCATGATCTTCGTTTTCTGGAGGTTCCTTTCTAGTCTTACCTTCTGTGACTCTTTTTTTAGTTCGCATACCATTGTGCTAAGCTTGTCCTGGTCGGTGCTCATAATCACAATGTCGTCGGCGAATCGGAGATAACTAAAAAATCTTCCGTCTATGTTGACTCCCTTTTGTTGCCATGTCAAGTTCTTACACACGTCTTCTAATGCCAGGGTATCAATCCTCGCACTATCCATTGCCTCTAGCACCGCCCAGGTTTTTATCGAATAGATAAAAGCTAGCTTTTTTGCAGTCGACAAATGCGAGGTGTAGTGGGATATTATATTCGGTACACTTCTCAATAAGAGTTTGAATAACCGTTTAAATGTGATCATTTGTACTACAGCCGCTTCGGAACCCGGCATGTTCTGCTGACTGGTAGAAATCGAACTTTTTGTTTAGTCGGTTGGCTATGATTTGATGAAAAGAAGCTTATACAAAACGGACAAAAGACTGATCGGTCGATAGTTTTCGAAGTTGGTTCGATCGCATTTTTTGGAGGGAATGATTACCTTGGCATTTCTCCAAGCGTCGTGGATTTTTCCCTCCTCTACACATTTTTTAAGAAGGATGATCAATGCTTTCTCCAGAGTTGTTCTCCCATTCTTCACCATTTCTGTTGTAAGGCGGTCTTCGCCTGGGGCCTTTCGGTTTTTCATCTGCTCCACCAATCACACCAGACCAACTTAAATCACAAATAAAAATTTGAAAATCTAAAACAGCTCCAGGCTTAGACAAAATTTCAAACAGAGTAATTAAAATTATCCTCAAATAAATCCTACTAACATCACTAATACTAATAAATAGTGTCTTTGCACACAAGGAATACCATGCAGCTGTGTAACGGCGTTTCGGGAAAAGCGAATTACGACCTTGCTCAGGTGTCATTTTTGTAATGGTGTTTCGGAAAATCGCAAATGACGTCCCTGTTCGGACGCAATGGTATCTCGGAGGTTCTCTTGGTATTGTTATGGTTTATTGCTGGTAAATTAACACGTTCGGACTTCAAGGGCCTTTCGGTCGTTTTCTCGGCCGCCAGCCATCAGGATTTATGTGGTAATGTCCCCCCAGCTAGGGTAGCTTTTATGTAGTCGAGAAAGAAGCAAACCAGTAGTCAATACGCAGTCGACAGAATTAAACGCAATCAGACAACAAATGGTTTATTCATAAAATATTGAATGAAATTAATGAAATAAACTGAGATTTCCGGTTTTAATGAATACAAAATGAAAGTTACCAGAAAAGGGGAGAAGAGGTGCACAACGGGGCGATCGATAGATATTAAATGATGAGTGAGATAAGCGGTGGTGAATGGTCGTATGTTACGCATTCATATTTTGCACCGGCGAGCTACGATACCGCGGGTTTGATCAGG